AATATGGTTATAAAATTAAAGAATAATAAATAGTTTTGATTTTGATATATTTTAAATCTATAGAAATATATAATAATTATGTTTTATCACTTATGTTTAATATAGAAATTTGTATATAACCGATTTAATTCTAACATTAGTATTAGAAATATATACAAAAATGTTACACATCTCATATTCTAACTCTGAATTATATACAAAATTTATTATGTGATAAATTGTATAAAGTTATATTATAATTGACATAGAACTATATAGTTTATGATGACAAAAAAAAAGATGACAAAAAAGAACTATATAGTTTACATATATGAATTTATAGGATATACATTTTATAATATGATTAATTGTATAAAATCATATTTAAGTACAAAATTGATAAAATGTATAAAAAGTTATACTAATTTTCATAATAAAATATTGTTGTATAACACGAGACTGTAAGTAAGAAAAATACGAGAAGAAAATTTTTGTAAAACACGAGAATGTAAGTAAGAAAAATACTTCGAGTGTTAGCCTTTCTCTGAACAACGTGTTCATGTTTCTAGAGACAGGGTAATGTAGAAGATATGTATTATACCTCATGAAAGACTGCAGAGACTAAGAAAGCAATGATAATGGCCGGTACCTGGAACAAAAATGAGTGCAGGGTTGAAGTAATGAAGCAGATCACTGATATATATATTAACAAGCTGCAATATATGTATATATATATCACTCACTTTTGGTATATTCCTGCGCAGGCATGGAAATATACATGGCGAACCATCCATTTATGAACAGGCTGTTAGAAAAAAAACAAGATCTCAATAAGCTTTCTTCTTCTGTTTTCTATAAAAAGAAGGGGATGTTTCAGGAAGAGAACCATACCATATTCCACATTCTCCAATACTGACAAAGGAAGACAGTGAGTACATGAATTATGGTTAGTCACATAAACATCATATGCTTTTTGAGTAAGACAAGATTAACGCAAAACTCACATCTCCCACGCTTTTTGCATTCCACCAATCTTTGTAGAATTCACGATCCCCAAAGCAGAGGAGCTCTGCCAATATGTTTAACCTATGGACGAGAAGAATGCAAAGAGATTCGTGGTCAGAAACTGACATTACATCTCAGACTCTGAGAAAGTAAAACTATCAAATTCTTGATGAGATATCCTTTTCTTTGGTGTTCGTCAAGGAGAATCATGTTAAAGAGAAGGGGATCGCAGCATTACCAAAGGTGGAAGAAGCAGTAGAACATGCAGAGCCACACGTACAAATTTGGAACTGAAAGCTTCAACACTCTTTCAATACCGTATAAGAGATCCCCTTTCAAAGGATGTTTTGAGTTCCTAACAATAGGATTTATATACTGCAACAAAGTAAGTACCAAAAGAAGATGAGATCAAGCGGGCAAAAATGCAGAGATGATAATTTTCACAAGGAAAAGGTTAAAAAGAAAGGGGATGAAAACTCACTTGCTCTATTATAAATCCCATGAATCCAGTGAATATGATCAGCTTTGCAAATTGACGAGCCACCCAACCCTTCCGGATACATGGAGAACGTGGATAGCTCGGCTGGATAAAGCAAAGATGCAAGGTTTAACACAAGAAAATTTTGCTAGTGAAAAATAGTGTGGCTCTACAACAACAACATAAAAACATCATCTATTACTTCTAAACTATGCTGCTAGATGAGCATAGTACACAGGTGGCACTACAACAACAACATAAAAACTCATTACTAATCTCTCTCTATATAAAAGAAAAAAACACTTTACCATTTTAAATCAAATAAAGAGAGAAGAAACTCACCAACGAGTGCATCTCGCATACCTACATACCTCAAACAAGTAGAGTTTATAACAAGTTAGGGTTTCTATGAGTCTACTACATCTGTTTACTGAAAAAAGAGCTGATGAATCTTACGTGTAGCATAAGTTATTGGTCAGAGACTGGAGTCCATCTGCAGAGCAGTTGTTCTCATCCCAAAGCACGTGGTAATGAGCAGGTCGAGAAGTTCCCTGTTCATCAAATTTTGATTTTCTAAGCACTTAACTAAACTCTAATCCACACACAATCATATGTTATATTGTAACTATTTTTTCTTGTATATACAGATTTACCTGAATGCCAGCATGGCTACAGAGATAAAAGTCGAATTCACGAGGGTGACAGATACTGGTATCCACCACAGTGCCTACAGAGATAACAAATAACCAAAGTGTTTTAAACCAATCCAATGTATTTGTAGCTAATTTAGTTAAACGTGCTCTTTCCTTTACATCACTTCACTCGCCTGGTAATATGTTTCCACTTCTATTAACGGAATTACGATCATTGTGGTTGTGAGCAAACAGCCTCGTGTGATGGCGCTTCTGCACCACCACAAACGTCACTGGTGGCTGATAGCCTTCTTCCAGCGAAGCACATGCCTTAAGGTACCAAAACTTGTGTTCGGTCTACAGACATTAGGACATCGTATATATATTGTCAAGCTTTCCTAATGGTATGAGATTGACATATTTGGCATTGAATTTCCAACTTCTCACGCAAGTTATCGAATATAAGGTAAGGAAAGTAAATAACCTATACATTAAATTTTAGAGATACGATTCTCATATATAAATCGTNGGTCTACAGACATTAGGACATCGTATATATATTGTCAAGCTTTCCTAATGGTATGAGATTGACATATTTGGCATTGAATTTCCAACTTCTCACGCAAGTTATCGAATATAAGGTAAGGAAAGTAAATAACCTATACATTAAATTTTAGAGATACGATTCTCATATATAAATCGTAACACTTGCACGCCAAACAAAAAAAAAATAAATAAAAAATTAAAATATATATTTAATTACTTTCCTAATTGTATGAGATTGGCATCTTTGGCATTTAATTTCCAACTTGTTTCGCAAGTTATCGAATATAATGTAAGGCAAGTAATTAACGTAACCAAATATTTGAGATACGATTTATCGAATATAATATAAGGCAAGTAATTAACGTAACCAAATATTTGAGATACGATTCTCATACCATTTGCACGGCGAAACAAAAAAAAAATATAAACGAAAATTGAAATAAATCAACCAATCAGATTCTCAGAATTTCTCTGAGAAGGCATGTATGAGTGATACGTGTCCAAGTGACTTCTCTTTTAATGTATAGGAGGATTTAATTTATTAATTGGAGATATTTTTTTATTAATGTATTAATGATAGATAAAAAAGAAGTTAATAAAAAATGTCATTTGTGTGAAATCTCAAAATGATAATTTTTTTTAGTTTATGTTAGTAACTTTCAGAGCTGGTAAGATTTATTTAGCTGTGTTACTACAATGAAAGATGCACACATGAGTTGTATAACCAGTTGCTTCATTTTAAAACTTTTATACATCCAAGATTCCGAAAAAAAAAAAGAAAACACAAAAACATGAAGAAAGAAAAAAGCCAATGTACAAAGTATATATATTTCTATGTACACTTTTCTTTGGCAAAACAATTACACAAAATCCATCTTTCACAGAGGAATTGGCTTCATATTACGGATTCTCATATACGTCAAAAACTGTGAAGGCAATTCAGCAAGTAGCGCTTGTACTAAAGATATCTCTCCATCTGCAACACAACACAATACACTCATTAAACCCAACCAACTAAAGAACTAACAAACCTTCTCAAGAATCAAACATAAACTCACGTTGCACATCTCGTAGTGCCACAAACTGAACAATATCTCGTGAAGCTAATCGCCCTGTGGAGCTCTCCAACCGGTCTCCTCTATCTGCATCAAGTATCTAAAAGACCCAACCAAAAACACAAACACAGTTTACATAAAAGATCATATATAGTTGTAAGAATCTTTAAGTATCTTTTTTGTACCTCCATTTCTTTAAAATCAGCTCCTCCAACTCCTACAATAAGAATTGATAACGGCAAATCAGATGCACTGACCAACGCATCTTTAGTTTCTTGAAGATCTGTTATAACACCATCCTAAAACAATGTTTTGATTTTGTTATATTATACTATTTGATGTTTGTTTTATATTTTTATATATATACTCACTGTGATGATTAATAAGACGTAGTATCTCCTTGAGCCTTGAGCTAGTGACTGGCTAGCTATCATAGCAGCAGCGTTTATCACCTGACCAAAAAGAGTAGGTCCTGCCAAAGAGAGGTTGAAGAGTGCACTTGTGTATGAGGTCAAGATTCCTTGAATCCCTTCCACCTGAAAGAGAAATAGAGAAAGAAAACAAATGTTCTCATATTAAAGCAATGTCCAAGAAATAGCTAAGCGGCATTAGGCGCTTTATAAGATTATTCACTATAAAGGAGCTTAGATCAATTTTTTACACTGTATTAAAGAGACCCTGTTGAGTTTGTTTTACCTCACAGTATGAACTGCTGCTTCCATTGAGGTTAAAGCAATGTGAAACTGGACCGTCTATAGGACGAGCTCCAAATCCCCAGGCAGGGAAGCGTTTATCTGAGTCATAAAACTGCAACACTTCTCCAAGATCCATTATTGCTTGAGTAAACAAGCAGAGACCATGATCAGTTTTTAGTCACAGTCACTGCTAATTAAAGAAAAAATGGAATAACACACTGAATCACTCACTCTCTGGTAGGCATTTAATCGTCCTGAAGGATCAACGTAGTGCAAAGAATCAGGTAGGCGAGGGTTTCCATTTGAAGCTAAAGGAAAACAGAAAAAAAAGTTTAGGTGACAAAACTAACAACAACATTTACATATTCATTCTAAAAGAGTGCCTTTTTTGATTTCTACCTGTGAAATCAATTGCAACCATGAAACTTAATTCAAACCCTGATGCCAAGTATTCAAGGAATGTGTGCTGAACTGTCTCTGTAAACTTCTCCACAAAAAGTTGGCTCTTTAATACCTGAAAATAAAGAGAAATGTAAGCAGATATAACTCAAATGAACATGTTTTGGAGACCTTGTACTATTTATTAGTTCATACCTTGTTTTGTCCAGCACCTGTAGGCAAAGATAAATTGATTCCTTGGCCAGCTAAGTGAAGTTTCTCCAAGTCTGCAAGCGATTTTTGAACTTTTCTGTTTCACACAAAATAGATGTCAGCTAACATATTTTTTTTATAATTCACTCCAAAAATAAGCTCTAAGATTGCAGTTTTACCCTATCAGACTGTGTTTGCCATTGGAATTGAAGTCTGAGCATTCTATAATCAGTGGACTGTCCTGTAAGATTATAGAAGAACATTTGAGACATCTCAGAGAGAGAAAGAGACTTTATATTGATTCAGTACCTTACTACCGACTTGTTGAACACTTAGGGAGAGTGGTTTCCAAATAGGGTTAAGATTGTTCTTCAGGACTTCAGTTTTAGACACTGGGATTGGAGTTCCGTGCTCCACAATCTTTGATACCACCAAAAATGGATCCTAAGGATGAACAAAAAGAAAAAAAAGTTATGTTTATGTAAAATGGCAAAGAGAATGAATCCACACAGAAACTTACACTTTTTGAGAAAAGATCTTTAGATTCCAAACTTGAACATCTGAATACTATCTCTGTTGTAATCTTAGAAGCAAGGCACTCCTCAACATGAACAATAAGCTTTCCATGGTGAGGCTGAGTCTGTGAGCGCTTTAGATCTAATGTAATCGTCCTAGTTGATTTTGTTACTATCTGCATGGGTTGAAAAGTAAATATAAATATACATGTTCAAAAACAATTAAAATCGAAAACATCAAATTTTACCCTCTGCAATGAGATAGTTAACAACAGCTGATTGAGAATAGCCAAGTAGCACCATCAGCTTGTCCGAAACCCATGTCTTCAAATCATTATTCGCCATTCTCACTGCAATTGCGTTGACGACATCGTATATATATTGTCAAAGAAGGGACATCGTATANCAGCTTGTCCGAAACCCATGTCTTCAAATCATTATTCGCCATTCTCACTGCAATTGCGTTGACGACATCGTATATATATTGTCAAAGAAGGGACATCGTATATATATTGTCAAGCTTTCCTAATGGTATGAGATTGACATCTTTGGCATTTAATTTCCAGCTTGTTTCGCAAGTTATCGAATATAAAGTTAGCTCTCTAATTAACGTAACCAAATATTTGAGATACGATTTAAAGAATATTATATAAGATTCTCAAAATTAATGTTAGCTCTCTAATTAATGTTCCCGAATATTATATAAGGCAAGTAATTAAGGTAAACGAATATATGAGATACGATTGTCAAACCATTTGCACGGCGAAAATTAAAAAAATACCAAAGAAAATTGAAAAAAATCAACCAATCAGATTGTCAGAATTTCTCTGAGAAGGCATGTGTGAGCGACACGTGTCCAAGTGACTTCTCTTTTAATGTATAGGAGGATTTGATTTGTTCTGATTTCTCCACACGTTGTAATCTAATTAAATGTGAAATTTATTACTTTTCTTCCACTTGTCTATAATTGTTACCAGCTTCGTTGGATAGATTAGCATATCTGTGTTCCTCAATTTGTTGCAATCATCTTATATTAATAAAACTAAATTATATTTTGGTACTATTTAAAAATAAAAATAACATGATAAATGAGAATGTTTGGAAACATAAATAGTAAATTAAGTATTTCTTTTTATTTACACATTTAGTCATTACATTTACAACAAATTAAACTAAAATTTGATGCACTCCGCCGTGGTATTTGATTTAACTTATGTTCAACGTAAGCTTTTGAATCACTGGTTTTATAACAAAAAATCTCATGTATATTTTTTTGTTTTATAATTTACATATAGAGTAGAAAAATTATTCTATAATATTGATGTTTGATAATAATTTTTTTATTTGTACATAATATTATATTAAAAAAAATTATAACTTGATGTAATTGTACGTAATTGTCTATTCATGCATTAACCTATTGTTTTTTTGTTAATTTATTTTAAAATGAAAGAACATACTAAATTTTTTTTTTTTTACTTTACCCATTATTAATATTATACCAATATTAACTAAATTGACCATACTGAAAAAGGTTATCTTCTTTTAATACATGTGATTTATTTAATATTCATACAATATTAAAAATGGTCAGTATATGAATATGGATTTGGTAAGATAAGATTTGGAATTGTAATTAATTAATGTAAATTTATTAATTTTAAAAAGAATAATGTAAATTGATTTTAAATGCAGTGTCAAAATCTGTAAATAAAAAAATACTTAATTTACTGTAAGTATAATGCCTAAATGTGTAAATGAAAGGAAGTACTAAAAATACTATTATCCATGTTTCCAAACATTTCTAATTTATATTGTTATCCATGTTTCCAGACAGTATCAAAAGGTACTTCAGTTTTAATAATATAGATACTTTTTTATTGTATTCCTTTTTATTTACTAGATTCTGCCATTATAGTTAAAATCATTTTACATTAACTAATTACAATAGTTTTTCTTTCTTTGTGGTGAAAATAAAAATACAAACTAAAATTTATAGTATTTATTATATAAAATAATTTTTAAACATCATATTACCTTATTTAATTTATTTAAATATAAAATTTTGAGATTTCAGTTTAAAAAAAAAAACAAAATATCGTAAGATTAATGATAATTCATAGAAATCTAATGTATAAAATTAATTTTTAGTATGTTGTTTAATTTTAAAACAAATTAACCGATAAACAACAATATATGAATAGTACAATTACATCAAATTGCATCAAGTTATAAATTTTCTAATCTAATATTATGTACAAATAAAACAAATTATTATCAAACATTTATATTATAAAATAATATATTCAACTCTGTATGTAAATTACAAAACATAAAAAAAATTATAAAACCAATAGTTTATGAGTTTACATTGAACACAAATTAAATAAAACACCCGCACAAGAATGTGGATCAAGTTCTAGTTACTATTTATATCCCTAACAGCTCTCTTCTTTCTATTTTCTTTTGTTTTCTTTACAAAAAAATTTGACTATGTGCCCTTGCTTTCAGTGAGAGAGATTTACGGTGACGAGGAAGATGGAGACGAATCTTTATTAATTAGGGTTTAGATGATAACAACAGGACGAATAACAAGGGGAAAGCTGCATTTTTTTTTTCTGTAAGAAAAACGATGGCGCAAGATTTGGAGAGGAGTGATTCCAACAAATCGTGAGTGGAGCTTAGCTATCCGTGTTGCCTCAGAAAATGTGGTGATGTTGAACTGTCGAACATGGAGAGCAAGGTGTTGATTCATGTTGGTTAGGAAGATTCTCAATGCGTGTTCTGGTGGTAGTGTGAGCCGTGTCATCGCGTAGTCGAACTTTTCTAGATATACATCAATAGGGTCGCTGGCTTGTTTTATGCTGACAAGTTCGTCGAGAGAATCATAGTATAAGTCGTGATGATATAGCACTAACTTACTCTGGCCAGAGATAATATATGTTGTAGTGATTTGCAATATATCCATCCGGTCATGTGAAGAGAGTCTAAACGGACCTTTAACTCTGGTGAGGTATTATCAATGGAAAAGAACTGTTCGCATTGGTAAATCAATTCTTTGAGTTCTGTTCCGTCGTACATCGGAAACCCGACCTTTGTTACGCGATATGAGAGCGCGGTGGGTAGAGGAGGATGATGAACAGCATCTGGGGGAGCAGATTTGATGTTGCTCTGGTCTGAAGAAGAATCGTTAGTTGGATTGGGTTTGCTAGCGGATTTTTTCAGTTCAAACGGTGTAGCTTTAGATTTGTGAGATCATCACTTTGAGTTCTGCGATTTCTCCACCTACATCTTTTCTTATTTCGTTTGATTGTTGAGTGTTCAGAAAAAAGTTCGTCGAGTTGTCTGCTCATCATATCAGACATTGCGGTTGTAGTTTTGGTGTCCATGATTTGGTCCTGGGAAAAAAATTCATTGCTCTGATACCACTGAAATAGGTAATATGGATAGATAGATTCCAAACTCGAAATCTCAATGTGGATTCGAAAAACGGGTAAAAAACGTAGGAGGTGATCACGAAATTAAAAAAAGATCAACACGAAAGACTGAATTCGAATGCAAGCTCTTGTAAGAACTTAGTTTGCTTGAGAGATAAGTAATAGCTGGAAAATAGTTTAGTGCTTTTGTGTTGTATAACGTGCCTTGAAACTACATATATATAAGAGCATCCATAACCGTGTGACTCATTGGAGTCCTTAGCGACAAGGGCATTTTGGATTAATCCTGGATATTTAGAATTTTTTTTTTTAAATTATCATTCACGGGCTGCCACGTAGTCAATGGGGCCCGTGAACAATGTAAGGATCAATCCTTACCAAAGGATTTTAAGCACTTTTTTGGCACAAACTCTAAGAAATGGGCTTCACACTCCTTAAAGACTCCTCAAGAGCTCCGATTATGGATGCTCTAACAAACCAATGACAGTTTAACTATTCTAGGATAAAGAAAGATGAACTTCTAAGAAAAAGGAAAACTAAAAGATTAGATAAATATGAATAAGCTATGTGACTTATCCTGTCACTATTTCAAACATAGAGATGTTATAGAAAGGTGATCATCGTTTGCGATTCATGGAACTTGCATCGCCTGATATTGAAAGGTCCCGGGTAAGAAAACTACGAATAAACCTAATCTTTCAGTGGATCTAAATGTTTGACAAAGCTCATACGTATCTTAGATTGCATTATTAAAGCCCAAAACAAAATGAATAAAAACCTAACTCGCCCATCATAAAGGATCTGCAAAACACATTACAGTACATCATAAGTAATCTTGAAATTAGATTTTTTTTTAGGGAGGATAGGTGTTATTTTTTTCCAGTAGAAAAAAATTTAACTTTATTGTATAAGATATAATGCATTTGGCAAACATTCACGCGCGACGAATGAGAAAGTGGTCCATTTTCATGCTAAATTGTCACATCTCTAGAGTGTATACTCATTAAGACACTTTTTGCCTTTGTTTACATTCTGAGAATCGTTATGCTGGTGAGACACTTTTACTGTACCCACTCAATATGGTTTTTAGACCAAATTTCCTTTTGCCAGTGTTGGCTGTATATTTTAAACAATTTGACAAAAAAAAAACACGAATTTTCATACATATTTCATTGATATTACTATTATACATAAGTCTTTTGACATGATTTGCCGCATGATAACGATCCAATAATGTTTGTGGCTCTTTGAATTTTTTTAGTTTATATACTATGACGGAAAATCATCACTATCCTGATCTATATCACTCTAAAATAGAGAAAATTATTACACAATGCGATGGAAAGTTTGGGATATAACTAGAATAATATTTATCTTTTAAAATTTACAAGAATATTTATATACTCTTAGTGAATTATAGTGGAGGCTCTTGTTTAGTTTTTTTTAATTGAAATTATTTTTAAGCAACAAATCCACCTCACTAATAACCTATCCACTTCAGCAATGCATGCAGACATTCAATTAAATCACCTCTTGTGTTAAAAAAAAAAACATAACAACACAACTTTTTTTTTGTCTCAAACGAATTAACTCTAACCGTCGATATTGTGTTTACTTCCTCGAACTAACTGTCTTGTCTTCACTGATATCGTCTTACCCAAAATCGTCGTCGTCCAATCGTTTATCTTCGCCACAATCGTATCTAGATTTCTACGATATGTTGTGTCTGAGTTATATATATTATG